TTATAATCAATGTAATGAAACAAGTTATATGAATTGTTGAATGTGAAACTGATGATGTGCCCTGTAAACTTTCACTCAATCCACAATCAAAACCTTAAATTAAAAAAAAACAAAAAAAACAAAAAAAAACTGCCGCTATCATCCAGGTATATAATCTATTATCTTCCGAGGCAGATGTACCTTGTAAATATTGTTAAAGTGCAAACATTTCCTAAAATTGAACAAAACACTATGCACACAGTTGCAGGCACACAATCGGCCTTCAGAATAAATGAAGTGTTATCTTCTCTCGAAAGTTGGCTCAAAAGACTTAACTCTGGGAAGACTATGAAAACTCACTGAAGCACCTTACACGTTCACAATCACTGATATTCATGTTTTCTGTGACTAAGCTGTGAATTTTAGGTGTCAAGCCAATAAAACCAAGTAGTCAATATTTTACAAAAATATATCTTTATTGTGTTTCAATGTTCTTGCATTATACAGATGCCTCATCATTTTACACTGAGTCTTCATGTTAAATATAAATTAAACGAAGAGAAAAAATGTAAACAAATAAGCAAAACTGCTGGAAAAGCCCTCCAAGTCATGAATTACAAATGTACTATAGGATGTGAAATTACTTAAAATCACCTTACTCTGCAAATTGTTAACTGTAACCAAACATAAATGTTTAAAGAAGCAATAAAGGACAAAATGATAAGAATCAAACTATGGTGGGCTTCTCAACTCCATATCCAATGAGCCAGGCAAGTCAACACTCAAGTTAAACCTTCAGCACAGGAGGACCTGAGTCTAATCACAGGTGAATCTCGAAGGCAACACCAGGGTTGCAGGACCAGAAGAGCTGGTACAATCAGATGACCCTCAGAGGATCCAAAGATGAGGAAAGTGTCTACTGTGCTCCCACAGCTGTTCCCAGAGTCCTAATTCAAACTCAGATACAAAAAATGAACAAGGATTGGAGTATATCCCGAATATTCATTGTTGTAGCAACATAAAACACAAAAAACCACAAAATTCTTGCTGAATATCAAAATGGATAGGCTCAAATATTAACCCCAAAAGTGGATGTTTTTGAAGCTAAACATCCAAGCCAGGAGTAGCCCAACATTTTTCTTATGAATCTCCCTCCCAGCCTCTTAGAGAAAACATACAAAAACAGAGCGGACCTGTAGCTCACAAGTCTTCTCAACCTTCTTGAATGCTGCAGCCATTCAAACAGCATATGGGACGGTGCTGAGAAGTACCCAAGGCCCAAACCCCACAAGATGCCAACAGCTTCCTTTTCTTGCTAGCAAAGACTTTCTGCCTTGTTCCCAACAATACAAGAAACTAAAGGGCAAACCTCTCATGAAGTCTGATGACAGCTTGTAATTATTTCTAAGCTCAGTGGCACAGACAGTCACAACCATTTCCCAAAAGCATGAATGGAAATTAGCTCCCACAGTGGGTCAATTACGACACTCTGAGGCCGCAGGGCTCCGGACTGTGGACATGAGATGTGACTTATAAGTTTTACTCAAGCCTGTCATCCAAAACTTCAGCAGCTTCACGTTGTCTTCCTCTGATGCCCCAAGAATACTCAGGAGTTTCTGCGTGTCCTCTTTTGGGCGACTGTCCACCTTGGTGAATTTAAAAAGGACCTTCACTTTGCTATAAAAAAAACAAAACACAACACTCAGGTACCACAACATAGTCATGAGTTATGATCACTGGGTTGTACATGGCTGTTAGAACAGGAAGAGCTCTATGAGTGGTGCTGGAATTCGGGAGCTCATGGGGCAGCAGCAGGCCCACCCCGACACCAACAGACTTTTCATTTTGCCCACTAAGACCAATTCTGGGTGAGAAAACTGGAGCACCAACAGGGAAAAACTGTGTTCCTCTTAAATCTATAGAAGCAATTAGCACTCCTAAGTTTCACTATATTATTTGAAATCAGGATAATATTTAACTAGCAAAAATTTGACAAAATATTACTAAAATAAGTTGTTTTAAAAAATAAAAAAAGGAACACATTTTCTCTCAGATCTTTAAAGTTAATTAAGCAAAAAATAGTGAACTTTTTTAGAAGACACTTCTTACATGTGCTTACTGTCCTTACTTGATAGTCAACAACCCCTGGAGTTAGATACCATCCCGTTTCACAGAGAAGCCACCTGAAGCTTGGGGACATTGGGTTACTCAGAAAAGGCAGGCTCTTAGAGGCAAAGGATGTGTTCTTACTTCATCCACTCTTCCTTGAGACAGACGAGGCATTGGTCAACCACATCTACAGAAAGATTTTGATTGGTCAGAGCAGCTTCAATCTTATTCAGGATGGTAGGGCCAACTGGGAACAGGATGGAGGCAAAGCAAGCCAAAGTCAGGTCAGCACAGGAAGAGAGATTCAGGTGATATTTCCCACCTGCTTTCTGAAAGCAGAAGCCTTTCAGATGGAATCCGACTTGCTCCACAGTACCCACCTCGGTCTGCAGACACCGGACTTCCGCTGGTTACCACAAATTCATACTTGCTGAGAGACTGGTCATCCTCAGGCCCCGTCGGGTAAAGACTGGAGCGGGGGACCGTGTGAACCTCCACAATGACAGCAAATTCTGTGGCAGCATGAAGACACATCGCTCCATTAAGTGCCCCTCATCTCCACCCCTAAAACGTCCCCTGCATGCTGCACTCCAAATTACTTCAGGTCAACTAGGGGAAAACTTCCAGCCAAAGTCTTTGGGGATAATGTTTTCATAATTAAGACCTTTTGTATTTTATTTGTGAATAGAGGTAAGAGTTACTTTTAGTCCCAGTTAGTTTATTAATATTATATTATACTAAGTATTAATTGGAGTCCTGGTATGGTGCTTTAAGATAAAGCACTGGACCACAAGGTTGGTTTGAGCCACAGGTCAGCAGTTCAAACTTACCAACCACTCCTCAGAAATCCTATGCAGGGGCACTATGAGTTAGAACTGACTAGATGGCACATAACAATAACAAAACATTATTTTTTAAACAATTCATTTAATATGCAACAACCCTATTGCTCCCATTTTTTAGGCAGGGAAACAGACACAGAGAAGTTAATGCCTTGCCCAAAGTTACGCAGCTAGTGGGTAAGCTTGCAAACACTAACACTACATAGATCTGAAAGTACAAGGATCAAATTACAGTCATGCCCTGGGAAGCCAGATCTGGGCCCAGACTGACTCCTACTGTGTTAAGTGCCATCAAGTCGGTTCCGACCCACAGTGTTCCTGTAAAGAGTTTCCAAGTTTGAACTGTCAACCTTGCAATTAGCAGTCCAGTGCTTATCCAACAGCAACACAACAAGACTAACTCCTAGACATTCCCAAACCAAAAGATGAGGATGACCAGCTCCCTATTTGCTGTAGATGAGTAAACTCAACAGCACTGAGGGCATGAGCCACGCTGGACAAGCCCCACTGTACTACTGAATACTGAAGGTGAAGGACAGACTAAAGGTATAAGAAAGGAAGAAAAAATCAGAGTGGAAAGAAGAATGACAGGAAAGTAAAGCAAGAGAACAGATGACAGAACAAGACTGTGGTAAACAGGAGACACAGTATCAAGACACATCAGCCCTACCATAGATGGGGAAGGCAAGAGTTGACAGTTCCGAGCAGTCTCCCACCCCCAGAGGAGGAACCTGTTGTCCACTAGATGCACAACCCCAGCAAGCCACTAGCCATACAGTTCAAAGCCCACACCTCTGGTCAGCTTTATAAAAAAAAAGGAGGCCATGGCCACTTGGCACTAGAACACGATGAATAAATGTTCTAGTTCAATTCCCACTGGTCAGCAAAAAAGCTGGGTTTAGGACTTGGGTCCTCCCGTCTCCGTCCAGCAGACAGCCCCTTCCATCCACAGCTAGAGCTAATTCTACTTGTGACCCTGACGTCTGGGGACTCTCCAATCAGGCCAGGCCATGACCACACGCACCTGAAGACAGCACATGGGAGGGGATCTGTACCAGTGGGCTGAGCCCCAGGAAGTTGCACCGATACGCTTCCTCATACTGGTTGCTGTAAGGGATGATGCGGACACAGCCCACAGGTAGCATGGTCTAGAGAGGACAAGAGTGCCTCAGAACTGACAACAGCCAGAAATACCCCCTGCCTATCTATCTCCAGACACCTTAGTCCTCCCTCTCACTGGGCTTTCATGTCCTCAGCTGCACAGGGACATCTCCCACCCCAAAGGCTAACCTAACCATGACCTCAGTAGTGGTCACACACAGGCTGTGCTCAGTGATGTCAGTTCCTACTCGGTTCTTTGATATTTTAGTCTCTTCCCAACCCACCGAGAGTATACGTTTGTGGAGAGGCTACGTCATTTGTTTTTGTACCCTCATAGCGTAGGTAAGTAAACAAACACTTTCTACCAATTCAAATGTTACTCAGAGTCAGACAGGAGTCTTCACTCCTCCCACGGGAGGGGGACAGCTTGCTACAGTTGCACCCCACCATCCATTCATCAAGGACACTCTGCATTATGGCCTGGCCTGTTTTGATGACAGCCAGAAATCCTTCCAATGGCCTCTAGTGGGATTCAGAGATTAGGCTATCAGTTATCAGCCTGCCAGAATCATTTCCTTCTGGCTGACCACCATCTTTAACAGTCAAGAAAAAACACAAGTTTAGCTTCAATTTAAGCACTGACTCTTTCTAGAGGTTTTGTCCTGAGAACCCTAATATTCATCCCTAAAGTCACAATTTTTAAAAACCCGCTAAGCAAACACTGCCCTGATACAAAATACCCAAGGAAAAAGAAGCTCTTACCCGAAGAATTTCAAAAGCTGACTGAACAAGGTCCACATCTCTACTCTTCCAGATAACCTGGTTCCCCATGAGAACATGCCAGGCCAACATGTGGAAAGACGGGGCACCCAAGACCTGAGAAAGATAACTCAGTGTTTGCTGCAGCATCAAGAGGAGCATTTCTTTATCCTCCAATCGGAATTACTCTATTCCTGTGTTCTAGAAACTTCCCTCACATAATGGAAGGGAGATGGGCTTAGAAGAAAGGCATAAACTCAGCGACATGCTTGAAGACAAATGCTTCGGTGGTAGCAGTCCCAGGATTCATACCTAAAAGCCTGATTCCAGAGCTCTTGCACATGCTAGTATCTTTTCTCCCAATTTTATTTTTAAAAATTTGAAGCAAAGCTAATAGCTTTTTGCAGCTCTGTGCACACTGTATTTTGCTGAGCCATTTTATAGTCAGCTGCAGATATCATGACACTGGGTAAAAATGAAGGTCTTCATAAAAAACCCCAATATGTGGCCACCTCCACAGAAGTACTGCTTATGTGACCCCATCTGACATTCAGTCTCATTCCAGAGTCATGCCTCCTAATCATGCCCTTTATAGCTGTAATTCTGTGACCCAGGATCTAAAGGATCATGAACGCTTTTAGTTGTCATCTGTTTATTCTACATTAATACAAAACAGTCCCTCTCCCTTCACCACCTCTAATTAACGTCAATGACATTGATATTTCTTAAGTGTCCAGCCTACTGTCCTATACCATGCTGGATTGAAAAACAAAAAATCAAAAAAAGGGGGGATATAATACCACATTTAATGAAATCCCAACAGCTTCCAAGTACTTCCTGCCTTTCACAGAATTCAAAATTCCTTGCAACCTTAATCCAAGTAAGCACTGAAACAAGGATGGTTTCAGTAAAATGCATGATTTTCATGCATGAATAGTTTTCCATTCAGAAGCCCCAGTCTTCTTAATTACATTTTCCAAAACGGAAAAAAAAAACAACTTCTGTTAACAATAGTGGCTGCCCTGGTGGCACTGTGGGTTGTGTTGGGCTGCTAACCTAAATGTCAGCAGTTCAAATCCCCTACTCACTCCTCAGAATAAAGATGGTGCTTTAGAGAAACCCTACGGAGCAGTCTACTCTGCCCTGCAGGGCAGTCTATGATCCGGAATGGATTCAGTGGCAGTGAGTTTGGTCTTTGTTCTGTTTTGTTTGGGAATGACTAATGATTGTGAGCATTTCTTATGTTTGTTGGCCACCTGAATATCTTCTTTGGTGAAATGTCTGTTCATGTCGTCGACCCATTTTTAAACTGTATTATTTGTCTTTTTCTTGTTGAGGTGTTGAAGTGTTCTAGAAATTTAAAGAGATTAGTCCCTGGTCCAATATATCATTGCTAAAAAAGAAAATAAAAAAGGCCCTTTGTTACTCATAACTAACCCTGCTGGTTTTGAAACCAGTGGTCCCAAAGGACAAAGTGTCCAATGGAGATAAGGTAGAACACTTAAGTCCCTCTCCTTGAGTTCCTCCTCTGCCACCTACCTGTCTCATGTGACGAAGGGACTTAAAGACTGACAGCTTCCGGGACTGCCAACTTCCACAACCTGAGAGTGAGGACAAGTCTGTTGGGCATTTGATCAGCTCCCGCCCTTCTGCACCTTCAGGAAACACAGGAGTCTTCTCTTCAGTCTCAGAGTTGTCCCAGCTTTCTGATTCCTCTTCTAAATCTGCAAGTCAGATGACACACAGTTACAAAACATACTGTTCTATGTCCCATACCACCACAATGGCCTCTCTGAAAAGCTCTCATAGGCTTGACCACTGTAGTAAAGTGGACTTACTTGATATGGCATTTCTATCCATAGTTTTCATAGCTCCCACCAAGTGATTGGATTGTTGTTAAAAGTGCTGTCGAGTCAGTTCCGACTCATAGCAATCCTGTATAAAATTTCCAAGGAACAGCTGGTGAGTTTGAACCACTGATCCTGTGGTTCAAACTGACCCTATGGTTGAGTGTTTATCCTATAGCGCCACACCTGGACTCCAGAGATTGGATGTAACTATGCAAATAAGGTGGGTGGTACTCTTAACTTGGGGACTGATTATTTTTGTCATTACACTGGGTTTAAAAGGAGTCATCTTACAAGTAGGAACAGAAGCTCCTGGGGCCATCAAGAAAAGAGAACCCACAGCAGAGCATGCGACCCCTGCCTGGAAAAGCTGCTGCAGAAATGGCAGCTGCAGGGAGTGACAGAACAGTGTGATTCCCAAGCCATGGACTGAGTAAAGCTGAGGCCTCAGGCAGCTGGGCTTTTACCCACAGTGCAAAGGGAGCTTTGTTAACACTTGCCTGAAGATGACAGAGGCCAAGAGGCTGCATGGCTGAGAGACTAAGGATGAGAGAAAGGTCTGCCTGCAGTATGGCTTAGAAAAGGAATTCCTGGCCAGAAAACTGCTATATCCTGAGATGTTTCTGATCCTGAATTGTACCCTGATCACTTCTCTAATCAACCATATAACCAGTATTATCTGAGTTCTGTGTGGTCATTGCAACGAATGATTAAACCCAGCAGAGAAGCAGACAGTGCCACGAGAGGGATGGTTGGTGTCAAAATAGGGGAAAGAAAGTTAGACAGTGGAAACAAATCTGATCTCAGCCTTGCACTGAAAATGGAGTTGAATTCTCCTTTCCCCCTGTGTAGCCAGAGGTCAGACATGGCCCTCACTGTTTTTGCAACCACCCTTGCCATCTCCATTAGCCTCGAAATTTATAATTGCTACAGTGATGAGCGGTCCTAGAGTAGACTGCTCCCGGAAATGTGAAAGTACACTATGAGATTCTGTTTTTCACAGACAGTCTGCTCTAGTGAACATTCTGCTCCAGTTTCCCCGACTCAGGAATGCTTGTTTGAAGGCAAAACTGGGAAGTACCATGATTACAGGAATCGCACTGAAATAGCTCCAACTTATTAAAAAGGTAAAACCATTTACAAACTATAGCATGTGGAGGACTGCTCATAACACACTACAATCATTACAAGTCTGATCTATCCAATCCCACAGCGGAGGCCCAAAGTCACCAAAACGCAAATCACCCTGACTGAAAGTTCAGCAGAATCAAGGTTAGAGGGTCATTGGGCTACCGCCAAAGTGCTACTCCCTTGTTGTTGTTAGGTGCCATCAAGTCGGTACCGACCCATAGCGACCTTATGCACAGCACAACGACACACTGCCTGATCCTGGGCCAACCTCACTATTGTTGCCATGCTTGAGTCCATCGATGCTGCCTCTTGACCCATCCATCTCGTTGGGGGGTCTTCCTCTTTTATCCCTGACCCTCCACCTTGCCAGACATGATTTACTTCTCAAGCGACTACCCCTCCTGACAATATGTCCAAAGTATGAGAGACAAAATTTGGCCATCTTGACCTCTAAGGAGCACTCTGGCTGTACTTCTTCCAAAACAAATCTATTGGTTCTTTTGACAGTCAATGGCACTTTCAATATTCTCCTCCAACACCATAACTCAAAAGCATCAATTCTTCTA